AAGTGCAAAGGAATTAACTTTGTTCTTGGTTGGCTACAAGAAAACGGCTTTGAACGATTGAAGAGAGTTTTTGAAGGAAAGAAAAACTTTGAAATTCCAAAATTGCGAAATGCTGTAGCTTCCAATTTGTACATGGGGTGGGGTATTTGAACTCCAATTTTCCCCAATACGTGGTGTATTTGAACGGGAATTACAAATATATGTAGGGAATTTGACCTGACCAAAACGTCAAAATCCAAATTCCCGGGGGTATGCCCGGGGGGGGGATGTCAAGGTTTCGATTTGATTCGCGCATAACTGTATGTACACTGGCACCCATTGCATCGTAGAGATCACTTTTCTCCATTGACAAGACCATTGCTCGTGTACATTCGTACCTCGGTTTCGGCGTGGTGCATAACCAACTGCTGTTGGCAGTCAAGGCAAATTGAAGTTGGCGGTGTCAACACGTTTGCCGATCCATGCGGACAGGGCCGCCCAGAGGTTGGCGGGGGCCCGGGGCAAATTTTTTTTAGGGGGCCCTACCTAAAATAATTTTCCCGGAAAAATTATTTCCGGATATTATTTTGGCATTCGATACATAAAAATTTTCGGTCAGTGTACCATTTTAGAGGTAAAAAAAATTTTCCGGACGCAAAATTCTGCCGGACGCGTACGTTGCTAACGCTTTCGAGTGACTTTATCTCATTTTTTTAGGCCAAAATTCGGTACTTAGCCCAAGAAAACAGATATCTTGTCCTTTGCGCAGAAATATTTAACACACAAAAAAGGCGGGGCCCCTACAAAAATTTTTCAGGGGCCCCCAGCAACTCGGGGCCCGGGGCAAATTGCCCCCCCCTCTGGGCGGCACTGCATGCGGAGGGCTGACATCTCCACCAAGTTAGTACCTGCACTTGTTTCAGCAATTCTGAAAGGTTTGCTGCTTCTTCCGTAGATGTTGCAAGAATGTTTGCAACTTTGGTATTTGTAACACTCCGCGGTAAACACGTTGACGAACAAAGGAAGGATACAACCTCAAAAAATTTTTTCATACAAAAACGACAAACTAAATACACTTCTACCAAACTAGTATCAGTTGTGGACTTCAAATTTAAAGAAGAAATGGCCGAAATTTGTTCTCTTAACTTATTTTCTTCGGAAATGGAATCAGCGATTTGTTGACGAAGTGAACTTGGGTCTATTTTCGCCTTTTTTGCTCGACTTGTACCACGTTTAGACGCCATTTTTCACCCAACAAGTGCGGAAAATTATACTGTAGGTATATACACCGAAATACACGAGTACTTACTGTAATAAGGCTGGCTATAAATGGATACTTTGGTTTGTAACGACTTTTGAATACCTTTGCAGATGTGGATCGATTGCTTTTCATGTCACGTCTGATTACGGTGGTCTGATAAACTCGTTATAAAGTGGCAAGCTGGTTATAATACAATGTGCCCCTCTAAGTGGCATATATGCCTCCATTACCTAAAGCCAATGGACAAATCTCTATAAATTTAATGTACGTAAAAAAAATTCATTTACTAAATTAGTACATATCTACATGTATTACAATCGGCAGTTTTCATCTTTTGCGATATGAATTAGAAAATTAGAAAAAATACTCCTTTGCTTTTTTAGGGCATCTCAGTTGTTTACAACTATTTAACGTGGTCAAAATCAACAAAGTGTGCAAGCCAAAACACAGTGCTTGTACATCTTTGAAATTTTTACTTTAATAACTCAAATATATTAGTACATATAGTAACAATATTTCTTTATTTTATCATAATATAAACTAAGGGTAGGAAGGTGAGAAAATAGAATTTTTTTGAGGTGTTTTTAACACAGACAATGACAGCAGACATTTTCAAAGGCGGTGACAAAACCGAAAGCCATTCACTTCTCTAATCAAAGCGACTGAAAAGCACCATAAAGACAAAAACCATTATATTTAACAAACATTTTATCATGTTTCTGTTGGGAAAGCAACTGTTTTCTCCAAAATTTATATTTGGCGCACCTATGTAGGCTGCTATAAAATGGCAGGCAGGCGGTTTCTTTCGAAGTCTGGCCAGGACGCTATAATTATAAAACACCTGGTCCTGGCTCTAAAAAACAATCAGCTTTTTTGAGTTTGAAATAAACCGGCTTCATAAGGACTAAATGTGTACAAATGTTATCTGTATGCTCAAATGAAATAACCCAGTATCCAGTATTCAAGTATTCCACATAGCTATAAAAGGGTGAAATAAGAACTTTCATCTTTGGTTGTTTGTCAGACGTGATAAAGTACATTACTCATTAATTTATAGTGCCATTTTGTCGCGCGTGCAAATTTATGAAAATAAACACCTCAAAACGACAAAAGTTCAAAACCATGTCCATGAACTTTTACTGTTACAATTCTGGAGTTTAAACGTTCCCCATATACGTTATTAAAAATATTCTAGTGAAGCGATTAAGTGAGCAATGCATGGGCCGACTAAACTCAAAAGAACTGCATGTTAACGTTAAATTGTATGTTTTTGTTAGAACTTCAATTTCATGGCTTCCGCTATTAATCAAAGAGAAGCGGATTTGCTTTTCCTTCTATTCAATGTGCAGTGGCTAGAAAATTAATCAACATTACTGGTATTATCTTATTTATCGATTTAAAGTTTTATCAAATTCTATATTACGAGGATATATAAACCAATAAATTACAAACTATCTGTATATATTGGCACTATATTACAAACTATCTGTATATATTGGCATTATTATGACTATGTTACTTGTAACATTATCCGTTTCTAATGATGACACTAAAATATTAAAATCGCGAAACGTTGTCGTTGAATAAAAAATGTTGTCTTTTATATTCGGAGGTTACCGTTGGCGTTGTTGTGTATTTCTATACAAGTGTGGACTTTTTAGACATTAATTTATAAAAATAGATATAACAGTGATTTTGGAATATACTACTTATTTACATGTATTGAATGAGCAGAAATTCCTGCTGCCTATGTTATTTTCTTGTAAACATTTATATTAAAATAATAAATTCTGGTAGTATCAATGTCCAGACACACCGGACGCGATTCGACAACGCGACGCAATTTTCAGTTTTTAAATAAGAACAAAATTTTTAACCGTCAGTGGATAAAAATTTCCATATGATGCTGACCAAATACCTAAAATTTCTTAACTGGTTCCAAATATTTGAAAAACATAGAAAAATATTATAACAGTTAAATGCCATTGCAAATTGAAAATTCGCGTCGCTTAGCCAATTCGCGCCCGTTCTGTGTAGGCCTTTACTGTAAGCATTCATTGAAATTGCCTCGTTTGTTTTCCATGAAAATATATCTACAACAGAGAATCCAACTCTCGATCCAACCAATACGAATCTAAAAATAAAAGCGAAAGACCCTTTAGTAGGCGTTTACTATTTGGTAAACCGGTACGTTTTATATGTCATTGTTCCATTTCCATGAGCAAAACAAGTACGGCAAATATTCAATTAAAGACATGCGCCACACAACGAGCGCGTACTCAGAAATATATCGACTTTCGCATCTGTTTACAAAATCATTTAGCGAATCATTTCTTTTTTACTTTTGAATTGCATGATATTGTTTGTTATTGTGACAGTGTAATTGGAAACGACGATAAATTATCCTATATTATCATATTAAAATAACAAAAAGCTGCGGACTGAGAGAGTTTCAACAACACACTGAAAAATACAAGCCAAACTTCGATGGTGAACATCCGGGCGGCTATAAATGCTTCTTTATACGGATCGAAAGCTTTGCAGGCCTTTGCAGTATTGCATTCATAATTAAATTTTACATGTACGTGGTGCTGTGAGCTGTCGATTTCGTGTATGCATTTATAAAATCATTAATAATTCACGAGGAAAATACAAAAGAAATGAATGTTTAATCAGTGTTTGTAAATCTGATAAAGATTTGTTCTGATTTACATAAACTTCAGCTTTGATCTTCTTGGCATAGACAGCAATCACAACTTTCATTTTTAAAATTACTTCGCCAATAAACTATGCCTGTGGGTCGTTTTATAAGCACGCTCGCCTTCGGCTCGAATTTGTATATCACATAAAGATCGGCTGCTCATGTTTTAGCTAGTAGTTGTTAATTTCGACTTGGATAGGGATAAACGGAAAGAATATAAAACGTTCATGAAAAATTATACAGTGTCAGTGTTCAGCAACTTCAGCCCAGTCTGGTCATTACAGTAATTGAGACTACTATTAAATCTTACTGCCATAATGGTTTTCAAACGTTCTCTGGTTGGAAATGTTTATTTATCACAAGCTTTCGGCTGCCAAACTGCAGCCTTCGACCGCGGGTAGTTATATAAAATACAATAATTACAGACGAGTATATACGGTTTTATACAATAATACAATTACAAAGTATACGCTCAAGGGAAGTTTGCCTACGCCACGCAAAGTATACGCCTATAAAACCGTTTATACTCGTCTGTAATTATTGTATTTTATATAACTACCCGCGGTCGAAGGCTGCAGTTTGGCAGCCGAAAGCTTGTGATAAATAAACATTTCCAACCAGAGAACGTTTGAAAACCATTTAAATATGTTCAATCCTGGTCGCACTTCCAGCATATTTTTAAAAATACTAATCTTACCTTGAACGGGGTTTATCTTTGCAAATTTAATCTCTGGTTTATAATCAAGGCTATAACACTGAGACACCAATAAACAATATTTCTTTTACATTTACAACAACATTCAAGATTTCCAGTGCGTCACAACAGGTGGTCAGAAGTGTCAGGGTGTCAGGCCATGACAAATGGCTTGGGGGTTGGAATGAATACCAAATCATGCATCATATGTAATTTGTGAATCGCTTAATATAGTATAATCATGGCCGTCGAGCGAAATATATCCCTATATTTTCGTACCCACACAACGGGAAATTTTTCTCTTCGCTACATATTACACTTACAGGAGTTAAAATATACCCACAAATAAAAAAAAACTTTCAAATCGTCCTTATTTTGCGATATTTTCGCTTGTTTATATCGGGCACGTGTATACACTTTGAATAGCGGAGTGCGAAAGTTGTCCGAAAAAATGCAAATTTAGTCACGTGACAGCAACATATTTTTCATCGCAGTAAACGTGGATTGCAACATTACAATAGTTAATAAGCCCTAGTTTTTTAAAACTTTATACGTTGTAGTTAAATTAAAATGGAAATTTTTGTAGTGTAATTAAAATTTGCTTTAAAGCAAAGTTGTAACGCACAATGGTTTATTTTTTATCCAAGCGAAAAATCGGGGTCATTATTTTAAATATTGGAGGTCATTATTAAAAATAATAACCTCCTGACATTAAATAATGACGTTGCATTAACTTGCGCATGTCGATTCTTCAAAATAATAACCTGTTCAAAGCAATGAAAATGTGCATTAATTATTAATAATACTATAATACACCCCCGTGTGATATTTCCCCCGTATCATAATTCCTCCGTATACGGCAAAAGTTATTCGATTTATTCTGCAGTATACGTATAGGTTATTTTGAGGCAACGAGGGAATATGTGATTTATTCACCGAGGCGCGCAGCGCCGAGGTGAATAAACACATATCCCCGAGGTGCCTCAAAATAACGTACTTATTTTTCACACTGCGAGGTCGCGTTAATGAGTCAGAAAAGAAATAATTCTTAATGCCATATTGCCTTCGCGATGTTGTTTTTTCGCATTTTTTGTGCTGCAAAGACATTGCAGGTGAATATTAGAGGGGATTATTAATTGCAGGTGAATATTAGAGGGGATTATTAAACGGAAATTGATTAGAGGGGAATATTGATTATATTCCCCGACAAGAACAAAGGAAACCGAGCAGACAATAAAATAAAGTATACGAGGCAGTATATACATCATAATTACAGTACAGTGTTTTGTTCAGAAGAAGTTATTTCGCTTGAAATGGATGGCGGTTACTGGAACATTGGTAATAATGGCTCATTTAACTTTACCGGCGATTTTGAATACTGTGAAATTCTTTTAGCGAATATCGTTCCATGGAGTCTTACAGTTTACTTATCTATCATCGTCATTGCAACAATAGCTAATGTTCTACTCTTGTTTGCTATCTATAAAGATCCTTTAAAATGTTTACGCAATCCAACTGCCTATTTCATCGCAAATTTAAGCATTGCTGATTTGTTAAACTCGTTGTTCCACTTCGAAGAACTATTGGTGTCACAGACTACGTACAAGAGTACTTTCTGTTTGCCGGGCGCTTGGGGAACATTTCATACAATATTTGGAGGTTTTGTTTATTTTTTAACTTTCCCTTCGGTGACAGTCCTGGCTCTGGAGAGATATGTGTCTATAGCTCACCCGTTATGGCATCAAGTCAAGGTTACATCTCGGCTTTGTTGCACTTGGATAGTTGTGTTATGGTTATTTAACTGCGTCTTCGCTGGAATAACTGCATACTTTTTCAATGTATTGATACTAGTTGGATATCCCAGTGTATGTTACTTAACTACAGTCCTTGTATATTTGTTGGCTTTTATCTCAATCCGTAAAAAGCATTTATCTCTCGAAACTGATACTTCAAAATCAGAAACTATTAGACGGATGATTAAACTACGTTTAAGAAATCAAAACCGTTTTCTAACTACAGTACTTATAGTAAACATTGTTCTTATATTCGGGATAATACCAACACTAATTGGCTCGCATTTGAAGGACGGGTTAGGAGAGGGAACGATCTCTACAGGTATTGCAGTATTGTTTTATACAGCGGATATTTTCTTTTTCATAAACATGGCATCGAACCCATTTTTGTATCTTTGGAGGCTAGCAAAGTATAGGAAAACCTTTTTTGTTATGTATTGTTGTAAAAAATAGACATTCGGGAAGTAGTGTTATAATTTTGTGATAAATTATTCTGAAAGTGCCTGTTTTGCATACGTTTGACCTGCTTTATAACATGTCAATATACGCAAGCATGTGAGCATTATCGCTACCGCAGCGAGTGCTATGTTTACATTGTATCGGATCGGTTTTTGCTTCGTTCACGAAACGTTACAGCCCAAGTGTAAACAGCTTCCTCCCCTGCCCTTCTATGCATGCCGTCGTATTTGCTTGTATATATTTACCAAATACAAAAATATTGCAGACATCATTTAAAAGAGTGAGCAAGCTATACCCGCAAATAAGCGAACGAAGCAAAGCAGCAACCACCTGGATACGAGGTTGAGCTGCAACTTAATTGGTGGTGGCATGCAACCTCGTACCTAGGGCCAGGGTTTTATCTCCGCTCACTTTGACAACAACAGGTGCGGAGCTGACTCTCCCCCAGGTTGCTTACCCTACGTTGAATAATTTTTGTTAAAGCATTCTTGTGACTAATATATTTCGACATGACCAATCCACACCGAGACATATAGGGACACGGAACTCGAAGATATGTCAAGTGCAATATATTTTCCCCGACATGGCGCTTGAAAATATTATAAGTTGTAGAAATGATTTTTCTCTTATTGACGCCTAAGCAATGCAGGGTGTTGCAGTTCGACTTAGTTCGACTACATATTTTAGCAACACCGCGGAAAAACGTCTGCGCATGCGTAAACCTTACCTGTAATAGTATTGCGAACTTGATGAGAAGCTGTTCCGAACGTTTCCGAAGGCTCAAAATGGCAGTAAAAAGGAGTGACTTCATTGTGCGTCTTTACAGCCAGATTTCGAGCGCAAAAATAAACATGTCATTCTAAAAACTAGGAATAAATACAGCCAGAAGGTTCAAGAAATTGTATTGTACAAGAACATGAACTAAAGGTGATTGTTGACAAATTTATCGTCTGAAACATTTTGTTTATCAACTAAGCAACGACAATTTCCGAATTTTCGTTTGAGATACATTTCTTTAAAAAAAACTGTCGCCAAATATAAAAAATTTTCGTGTTCACAATAATTAAACTTTAGGATTTATTCTACAATTTGAGTGGGTTAAAAAGCTTAACTTTTCGAGAGTTTTCTTAACTTTTTAGTTTGAATTTTTGTTTTGAATAATTCTGCAAAAATTTTCGAAGTCGTGTCCGTTAAAATCAACAATTTTTTACATGAATTATATTTCATTCCATACTTTAAATGCCAGGACACTTTCAATTAATGTCTAGTCTACCCATTTGCTATATTTTCTCGTTTGTTTTACTAATTTTTGACCAATTAATAAGCATGTTTTTGTTTTAGAAATTGATATTCAAATTCCCGCCATATTTTCATAATTTGGTGCATGCGCAGACGTTTTTTTTCCGCGGTGTTCCCTTATGGTAGGTTTATGTTTATTTAATAAGTTATTGAAAAAAGATTTGCCCTTGGTGATTTTCCTAGGTATAAGCCTCACTGTCATAGCCAGGCTATTAATCACAAATCCAAGGAATTGAATAGCTTGTACTGGATGCAAAACTGATTTCTCAGGGTGTATGACAAACCCCAATTGTTGGAACAAGTTTGTAGAATCTACAATATTGTTTTTACAAGCTTCATGGTCGTAGCCTAGCAATAAGGAATAATCAATGTGACCCATACAAGTGTGTCCTAAACCTCTTAAATGAGAGTACACAGCCTTTAAGATTTTTGTAAAAACCCTAGGGGCACAAGAAAGCCCATTAGGGAGACAAGTGAATTGGTAAAAGGTGCCTTTCCATTCGAACATATGGAATTTCCTATCCTCGTCCGCAAATTGGTATGGAATAGTGGGCATCCTTAAGGTCAATTGATGCCATGAAACATCCAGGTCAGATAAGTTTCGTGGCAGTTTGAAATGTATCCATTTTAAAATGGTTGTAATCCACAAACTCATTGAATGCCTAGCAATAAGGAATAAGCAATGTGACCCATACAAGTGTGTCCTAAACCTCTTAAATGAGAGTACACAGCCTTTAAGATTTTTGTAAAAACCCTAGGGGCACAAGAAAGCCCATTAGGGAGACAAGTGAATTGGTAAAAGGTGCCTTTCCATTCGAACATATGGAATTTCCTATCCTCGTCCGCAAATTGGTATGGAATAGTGGGCATCCTTAAGGTCAATTGATGCCATGAAACATCCAGGTCAGATAAGTTTCGTGGCAGTTTGAAATGTATCCATTTTAAAATGGTTGTAATCCACAAACTCATTGAATGCCTAGCAATAAGGAATAAGCAATGTGACCCATACAAGTGTGTCCTAAACCTCTTAAATGAGAGTACACAGCCTTTAAGATTTTTGTAAAAACCCTAGGGGCACAAGAAAGCCCATTAGGGAGACAAGTGAATTGGTAAAAGGTGCCTTTCCATTCGAACATATGGAATTTCCTATCCTCGTCCGCAAATTGGTATGGAATAGTGGGCATCCTTAAGGTCAATTGATGCCATGAAACATCCAGGTCAGATAAGTTTCGTGGCAGTTTGAAATGTATCCATTTTAAAATGGTTGTAATCCACAAACTCATTGAATGCCTAGCAATAAGGAATAAGCAATGTGACCCATACAAGTGTGTCCTAAACCTCTTAAATGAGAGTACACAGCCTTTAAGATTTTTGTAAAAACCCTAGGGGCACAAGAAAGCCCATTAGGGAGACAAGTGAATTGGTAAAAGGTGCCTTTCCATTCGAACATATGGAATTTCCTATCCTCGTCCGCAAATTGGTATGGAATAGTGGGCATCCTTAAGGTCAATTGATGCCAT